TCCCAGAATTCCCTAGCCCTCAGCCAGGGCACTTCAAGCGCTATCAAACCGGTTTATTCCCCCCAGTGCGGACACAGCCTTATACCCCAAGGTGCTACAAGATCCCTATGCACACTGATTTTCCAGACTAAGGGCCTTTGCAGACTGTCAGAAATAGTGCACATTAAATTGAGGCACTGCCCTGGCTCAGTGCTAGGGAATCATGGGAATTGCATTTTTTTCTGAGACATTGAGCCTCCTCTGTCAGAGAGCTCTGGTGCCACAATAAATTACAGTTCCCATGATTCCCTAGCACTGAGCCAGGGCAGTGTCTCAATTTAATGTGCACTATTTCTGGCAGTCTGCAAAGGCCCTAACTCTGAATACTTTCATTAGTGTTTTTTGTTTCTTTTTCAAGGTAGAAGAATCCAAACTGCTAAGAAGTACATCCAGCTCTGCAGGTGAAGGATTTCTATGGTCCAAAGCACCCTGCAGGTTTAAATCCCCCAAACCTTCCTAAGCTTGAGTGACACAGATGTGCCAGATATTATGGGCAGCAACAAACATAAAACCACAGCGAGGGGAAACAGTTCTTAAATATAAGGAGAGGAAAGTGACTCAAACACAGACTAGAATTGGGGGGCGGGAAAGACATTTTGGGGGATCAACATTGATTTCCTTAGACAGGGCATTCCAGAGATAGGAGGCAACCACAGAGAAGTCTTCTCTCTTTTTCAAAAGAAAAAGAAAAAAAAGCAGACAGAGACATGGATCCCAAACACACTGGAAAAATAATCCAGGTTGAGACTGCTTTTAACTTTGGGAAGTGTAGCTTCTTTGTGAGACATTTCTGTCTGGGGCCACAATAAATTACAGTTCCCAGGATTCCCTAGCACTGAGCCAGGGCACTTAAAGTGGTCTCAAACTGGATTATTTCTGCAGGGTGCTTTGGACCTATAGTCTCTGACTACTTTTTTTTTTTGTGACAGGGAAAAGACTTCTCTGTGGTTGCCTCCTATCTCTGGAATGCCCTGTCTAAGGAAATCTATGATGACCCCCCAAAATGTTTTCTTTTTCCAATTCTAGTCTGTGTTTGAGTCACTTTCCTCTCCTTATATTTAAGAGCTGTTTTCCCCTGCTGTGGCTTTATGTTTGTTGCTGCCCATAATGTCTGGCACATCTGTGTCACTCAAGATTAAGGAGGATTTAATCAGGGTTTTAAAATCAGATTCAATAGGATATTGTAATGTCTTTATTTATTCGTTGGTTTTGCATTATGCCTGTACTTTTTTTGTGACGGCCTATGGTCATGTACAATAAACATTTTTACCTATCATTGGAGTTTATCACACAGGACGAATCCCATGCAGAAACTAGATTTAAAGTGAAAACAACCTATTGTTCTTCACATGACATTTGGGGTTAACCCAAACAGAAAGTAGAAAAACCCGCAAATGCAGATTGTTTTTCAGACAACATTTGTGTGAAAGAGAAATAACGCAAAAATAACCTGAACGGAAAGCTGACAAAACCCGCTCCTTGAAAACTTAAAAACTTTCAGAAATTCTGAAAGTAGAAGAGTGGTTTTTGTTGACTTTCCATTTGGGTTATTTTTGAATTATTTCTCTTTCTGCCAATGCGTCTGAAAAACAACCTGCATTTGCAGGTGTTTAGCGGATTTTAAAATCCTGTTTCTGCATGGGATTTGCCTCCTCCGTGTGCCTCCATGCGATAAACTCCTATCTTAAATTCTGGTCTGTGTTTGAGTCACTTTCATCCCATTATGTTGAAGAACGTTTTCCCTTGCTGTGGTTTTGTGTTAGTTGTCTGCTTGGGTAGTCATTTTATTTACTGCATTTTACATGTTTAATTGCATAGATTTACTGTAACATATTGGCCTGTATTTGTTTATTTTTCTTTGAGTTATGTCATACTTTCTTCCTAGTGTTCTAACAGAAATAGGTTACAACAAAAGCAATAAATCATACATTTGAATACACATTAAATAAACTGATATATATATATATATATATATAAGCACCAATTAAAACTATTAAAATACAGTTTATTAAAAATATAAATGGTAATCAAAATTAAAATGTCCAGCAGATCCCATTTTTAATCTCTGGCCATAACAGGCTCTAAGTTGCTGAAGGCCTGCCTTAATAGAAGTGTTTTTGTCTACTGAGAAGACAGCAAGGAATGGACTAGCCTTGGTCAGGAATGGCCACCGAGAAAAGCCTGTTCGCTTCTGTCTTTCAGATAATATGGACCAAGTTACATAGAGCTTTACAAAGAGCAATTTGAATTGTGCCCAAAATGGCATGGAAGCCTGTGGAACTGTTGTTATCTTAAAGTCATTTCTGACTTATGGCTGCCCTAAGAAAACAGGGTTTTCTTGGCAAGATTTATTCACGGGTGGGTAAGTGGGGGGTTCCCCATGGTCACCAGGCATCCTCCTTTTCCACATCCTACATTTAAACCTATTGTCCAGGAGGAATTCCAAAACATCCTCCATTTTGAGCAGGATTACATTCATATGAGTGGTTTTAGCTTTTATTTGGTCATGTTTTATTTGGTCTATTTTTCGTGAGTGTCCTACATTTTGTAGTCCCTTGTCACCCTGGAGGTTCCCACTGCCTTTCTCTGGGGCTGAGAGAGTGTGATTTGCCCAAGGTCACCCAGTGGGTTTCCAGAGCTAAGCAGAGATTCAAACCTCAGTTTACCAAAGTCCTAATCTGGCTCTTGGAGAGGCTGTAAAAGGGAAGTCATGTTTTCTGTAACCAGCCCTTGTCCATAGTCTGGCCACAGCATTTTGAACCAGCTGCAGTTTCTGAATACTTTTTAAAGGCAGCTCCTTATACAACCTATTTTAGTAAGGCAAATGAGATGCAGCTGAGCCATTTGTCACGATGGCCATATCAAACATCCAGCACAAATGGCACACAAGCCTTCATTGTACTCCCATCCAGAAATATATTCAAACCATGCAACTACCTTTTCTAGCAAGTATATAACACTATCCCTCACAGTTGATGTGTGTCTTCATGTCATTTCCTACTTATGGTGAGCCTAAGGTGAACCCATTATGCGGTTTTCTTGCTTTGGGAACTACAAATGACCATTACATCCATAAGAAACAAACTGATCTAGCTTGTGTCAGAAATATCCAAATCATTCCCTATTTAGATTTTGCGCAAGGATTGTCTGAACCTGCTTTACACTGAGATTGTTATCTGATGCTCTGTGCTTGATTCTACTTTTATATGATATTAGATAGGCAGATACCTGAGACAGGTCTTTTTAGTGGTGGCACCATGATTGTGGAACATCTTTAGGTATGTCCTGTCATTCTCCTATTTTTCTTCTTTTAACCTATTGTTTATACATTCTTTGCTCTATTTTTATTACCTGGCATTACATTCTTTTCTGCCACTCCCATTAGCTATCTTGTGAAAAGAAGGATGATGATAACTGCATTTTCTCATTTATTCACTTCCTGTAACATGCAAAACCACTCAAGACAATGTGGATGAGTCCTCTTGTTTCTGTTGTTTATAACTTAATATGAGTCATGTGTCACGAGGGCCATATCAAACATCCAACAGAAATGGGATGGGGCAGTGAGAAAGAAAGGAAATAATTAGGAGCCACATGACATAATTTGGAAATGTGCTCACAGACTAGACATCATATATCTATCCCATATGACTATAGGGACACTTTGACCTTTACTATTTAAGCATGTATTATTTGCTAGTTTTGCTGTCATATGCCAAATTTGCAAAAGGTTAACATTATGAGAATAAGATACTGTGCAATCTTTTAAGTGTGCTGTTATATTACTATGGAAAGGTAGCACATTTTAAATACTACCCAACCTTCTCCAACCTAATATATATATATAAAAAAGAAGTAACTTCTGATCATTCCAGTTTGTCAAAAAGTGTTCTGTCCATGTGAGGTTAGAGCTGTAGATGTGGAAAATTGTTCCCTGGCACAGTTGTCCACCAGTGGTCTCAATCCTGTCATGCTTGTTGGTACTATAAGTCATCTCATAGGACCTTATCCCACGGGGCCAAAAGCAGCAAGAATCCACTA